AACAACTAAACTAACGTCTTCGAGACTCTCTGACACTATCACGAAATCGTCCTTCAGCATTCACTCGTCCTTCTCAATTGACGATTAAAATTAAATGCATTTTTAATGAAGTTGACATATGGACAGTTTAAATTATATTTGTCCTTATAGTCTAGTCCTTCGAGCGCATTTCGAGAAGGTTAATCAAACTCACCTTTTTCTTCAATTTTATTCGAAATCTTATTTTTGTGGATGAATTTAACGTCGCATTAAAAAGTGGTAAATGCAATTTTTTCCTACCGCAGTTTTGAAAAATAATTTTTTACAAACCTGATAAAGTGTTGCGAACTTTCAATGTTAGAAAAGCTGAAAAAGTTTCGACAGCTGAACGATTAAAAATGCCATCGAGTTCGGAGTTAATACACTCGAGGCAGCTAACTGCGCGTAAATGCAAGATATTTCAAATTTTGTTTCCGCTCGCTGTCAACGTAATTTTGTGTAATTTTGAGAAACAATTTTTTGCAAGCCTAGTAAAATTTAACAAATCTTCATAAAAGTATGACTAATTTTCCCAAATTGACCCACCGAACCGACGTGAATTCGCGTTATTTCAAATCCCGTTTTCCAGTCTACATCGGCCCAAGAACATGGAAAGAACACTTTCTTAGGAACACTTCCTACGTTAGAAAAATATAAAAACTGATCAGCCTCGAATATGCTAATTAAAGACCTGATGACCCATGGCTCATTCATCGATTAAGCCTTCGTGTCCACGCGGGAAGATCTCGAAGCAGCGAATCCTCTTTCACCGTGGGACGCATGTATATAGAGGTCTGGAGTGCGGCGTTCATCGTTCCCTGAATCGGAATAATCTTCGCAAAACTGCGGTTCGAGGAGCGCATTTTTTGGAAAGTGGCGTGCGCCTAGTGGCACAAGAAAAAGCGCATCGCCGCGTTTTGTGGCCGTCGATAAAAAGGGTGCATCCGCGAAGTGGACGTGCATACCTCGTTGCTTGGTACACGTGTACGATCGAGCGCTTGTGCAAATGTACACACACGCGACCGGTAATGTATACAAGCACGCGTGTGTACGTGTCTGTTCTGTTTAGCGCGCCGGTGGGGATGGTAAGGGGCGCAAGTCAAGGGTGCATTGGTGCGGAGGACGAGCAGCAGCCAAGAGAAGAGGGGGAATGGGTTTTGCGGAGGACATGAAAGGGATGCGCGCCGACGCCATTCTCGTCCATTCCTCTCGCCGTGGTAGGAACAGCGAGGGTGGCCAGGGGGAGGGTTGAGCGCCACGACCTCTACATGCAAGCCGTTACATACACGGTGTACCTGTGCGTGCGCGATGGAGACGAGACAGGATATTCTATCTGACACGGCCACGACGAAGGCAAATGCAACCAGAGGGTGGAGGTGGGGATCGAACGCGACTCGGCTGAAACTGAGCGGCGAGAACCAAGGAACCCTCGCCCGTTCGCTTGCTCTGACGCACGTAGGCTTTGAGCTGGCAGACTCCGTGGCCGCGTTTGAATCGTGGATTTTGGACGGATAGACGTTGGGGAACGCAGATTTTTCTCCTGTCTACTTTTTGGCCCGGTTAGCGTGTGGTTTTCACGTCTCTGGGTGTCCATGATTAATGAGATTTTCGGTTTTGTAGTGCTTTCTGAGCGTTATATTATCGAGTACGTGAGATCGTGTGGTGCTGAAAGGTTTCTAGGTGCTTTTGGATGCTTGGATAGGTCGATTCTCTGGGTTTCCACGGATAGTATAGGTTTCTGATACAGTAAACTGTTGAGCAAATGAACAGAGGCTGAGGTATTGATTCCATATCGTTGTATGACCATACTGAGACTGATTTTGGATTCCAATCTAAGTATTTAGCTGTTTTGTTGATACTTTTGTAACGATGACGTGAAATAAGAAGCCGTTCGAATTTATTGTGCAAATGCTTGAACAGCTTCATCCTGTTGATGTACATGAAATAATAGAGAAACGTGTATAATGAAATTCAAAGATATTAAATCATAAAACAGCAATGAAATTGATCCTTCGTGGAGTATCGATTTGACATGTACCAACTGTACCGTTATGCAATAATTCTATGTATTATGTGGGGGATTTGAAAATTGATACCACTTCGACAGTTTGGATGATTTAAAGATTAAACTAGAATCAAGTTGCAAAACTTGAATATTTAGAATTAATGTACTTATCCTTGAAAATCGACTATCAATTTATATCAAGTTACAACTCGTTGAACAATCGTTCGTTGAAAAGTTTGAACATTTTCCACGTGTATATTTAAAATCGTAAAAAGGTCCTGTTCCAACAATTATTACAAATACTTTAAGCATTCCTTAAGGTACAACTCAAGAAAAACGTCTGATCAATTCATAATCAGCCCCGCCATCTCACAACTAAAAACCAAAAACCATTCTGAGTCATCCAATTATCTATATCCCCTCAAATTAGCTTCTTTCATAACTTTTACCTACTATCTCTTCATCATAAATAACTCAATGCTGCTACGAAATCGCAATACGGGGCTACCAAGAACTCACAGGGCCGAGCGATGGCGCAAGTGCACACCTGCAGAGACTTCTACCTGACCGAGCTGCAGGAGCCAGCGCCGAGCGGAGGTGGAAGATACGATTCAGGGATGTGGGCGGACAGTACGGCGACAACAATAAGCATTGTGATTTGCGCGGGTGTGCCTGGCCTCTGATTGGTCGGCTACCGCCACCTCCACAGCTCCGTCGTAGGGCCGTCGCCGGCGGCCGGGGGTTGTGCCGCGACCGCCGCCTCCGTTCGAAACAATAGACAATGCGCAGCGCCGCCGTCGCCGCACCTGATCCGACGGGACCCGAGCGCCAGTCGAATCGCTGGCAGCGGGCTGTTCCATTCACCGCCCCGGAAAATCGAAGGGGTCCCGACTGATACCTGTTCCGCAACGTCCAACAGGGGATTCCCGGCGAATCGGAGTGGTTCGCGGTGGGGTTAGGTTACGTTTGAAGACTTCGAATTTTGTGGGGTTTGAGGATAGTCTTCGTTAAATGTAGGGTTCAGAATTGGGTGTTAAAACCCGAAACAGTAGAAATTACATACTTTTTAAGAAGATCGTAGTACCAATTTGTTTATTTTAGGAATATCAGATGGATTTTTAAATTTATATTTATTATCGTAGAATATGAATTACCGTTAATTTTGCGATAATGGATATGTAGAATTTCCTACAATTTTTAAATATCTTAAGTTAGTTTATTTTGCATCGTCGATTTATTTAAATTATGGACTGCTTAATGTCTTGAATACACAATCGACTATAAGCTGTTCATTAAAGAACTTTCTTCATAATCATCCTGTCTCATTCCATATTTTCAACAAAGAGCATTCAAAACCCAACTATACAGTTATCAAACCCACCGAAAAAACTAACTATTGGAAAAAATTACCAAATAACCAACCTCAGAATTGCATTTAGAACTCTGTTCTCCCTCTGAACTCTGTTTAGAACGGAAGACGACGTGCTGGCGATCTAAGTAAAGTAGCCACTCGTCTAATCCCTCAAAGCCTTCACAGACACGCTGACATTTCAGTCAGCAGGGAAAATACGTGAATCATATCTTTAATTATTGCATTATCTAGGATGAGTCCATCAGGATATAATCAATTGGTCCAACACTTCTTCCTTGACTCATCTTCCGAATATCGCATAGTAAAGTATCCATGAGGAAGAACCAGCACTGTCGCAAGGTCCATCAAACGGCATGCAAACCTCTCCCGATGTTCACCGTCCTCACGTGCCACGTGACGCACGTCTTTCGCTCTTTTTACTAGTCCCTTTCATCCTCCGCGAAACTGGCGAGCAGGAACGAGACAGAAAAGGAAACAGAAAAAAATGAGGGGAGGGAGACGGAACAACGTCGAACACGATAGCGCACGCTGCCCATCCACGGTGCAACTACTACGCCCAGCTCGACCACCGCGACTCGTGTCCTCAGGAAGGGTCGGCAGGGGGTGGGGGAGCTCGTTACGCGGCCTATGGGGGGGGGGGGGGGGGGGGGGGGGTGGGGGGGCAGCGATTCGTAAAAGGAATATCAGCGAACGTGCACAGGTGAACAGAGAATCTCGCGAAAATGCGGCGACAACGGGCAGCAGCGCAACACGAAGACGACAACGACGAAGTGTATGTCAACGACAGCAGCAGAGAGCAGAGAAGCCAGAGACGAAGGCGTAGACGAGGACGAGGACGAGGACGCGAACGAGGACGACGATAACGGGTCGTGGCGGTGGTAGTGTCGGGCTGAGCGCGCGCGTTCGCGTGGGTGTCGGAGAAAGAGGGCGGGCCGTACGCCCGAAAAGGGGCGTGGCTGTCGAGAGAACCCGCCGCTGCCGCGGCCGCGCGCCGGACCGATCACTGCCGAACAACCGCGACGCGGAACGAATGACCTGCGGTGTGACAGAGAGAGGGAAACCCGGCTAGAGAGAGTACGATGCCGCAAGCGTGCCGTGAAAAAGACGAAGACACCATGATACACGTCGTAGAGCGAACGTAGCGGTATCGAAGAAGGTGGGGGTAGCTGTGGCGGTGGGCGAACGAGATCGACGAAGAGGAAGTGAGGCGGGTAACAAAAGCAAAAGGAAGAGGGAGCGAGCGCGGGAGACCGAGAGAAAAGACGAACACAGCGAGAACAGTAGCGGGGAACGAGAGTGGCACAGCGCGGGCGCCGAAGCGGCGCGGAGTGGTGCGGCGCGCCGCGCCGGCCGCCACCAGGCAGCGCCTCCGAATCTCATCCCGTTCGGTCCTCGGGGGCTTCAGTCAGTCAGCCGACGCTCCGAGACGCGGTGATTATTCCCATTGTATGCCCGCTGCTCGAGGGGGGGTTCTTCCACCACTGACTCTCGTGTCTCCTCTCTCACTCTCTCGCTCGCGGCTACCGATCGCTCGCCCTCGCGGCCTACTGCTGCTACCGCTACCGCTACTGCTACTGCTGCTACTGCTGCCGCTGCTCACCGTCGTCCACGTCGTCGTCGTCGACGCGTTCCAGAGCGGCGCGTTCTCGCGCGTTGCAGGCGTCCGCGATAGTGTCGAAAGCGCGAAACGGAGCGTCGGTGTCGATCATATACTCGTTCGATCCGCGACGATCATCGTTCTCCTTCTTCTTCGTCTTCTTCTTCTACGTCTTCTTCTACCTCTTGCTTCTCGTCTTGTTCAACGAGAGATCAGGGGCTACACGCGGACCAACTGGATTTCCAGCCGTGCGTATATATGTGCGCGCGCGCGCGCTCCCTCCAGCTACATCGATCTTCCTGTCTTCCTGTGAGTGGAGAGATAGATCGGTGGTCACGTTGCGACGGAACCATGACGTAAACGGTGTGGGACCAATCGGTGTACACACGATTCTTCAAAGCCTGTGAAGTTCCGCGTGCCAAGACCCACCGTCGTTTCCGGGTGTATATCAAGCACGAGTGAAAAAGGCATCGTCCAACCGATTTCGCCTTCATCGAGTGCTACGTTGACCCAGGCTCGGTCGATCCGCGCGGCAAACCGACACGCTCGCAGCCCACAGCCTCGGATCGTTCGTTCGCGTTCAAGTGTCGGTTCTGTGCGGGGGTGTGAAAGTATATCTCGTAATTTGCGTGACAAGTGCCACGAAGACGTCGAACGGGGGTAGTCGAGGCTACCAGCGCGCGAGCAGGATGATATGAGCACGCTTGGCAGGTGAGTGAGACGCACGAGCACGTGACCATGTCGCGAGAACGATACCGGTGCACCGGCGACGGCGTGTACTAGCTGCCTCCATCACCCCAGTTCCTCTTTCATTAAACATTTCGCTAGGCAATGTCCTAAATCCATGAATTGGGTATCCTTAGATTTGCCCGCTCATTGGTATCTTGTGCTCCGAATTGATTCCATCTAGTTCGTGATCTTTGGATCGTCTCAATGATAATTCCAACCGCTGTCCAATACTCATGCAACACGCTGTTCAGCGTAATCTGTGCAATACGTAAACGATAACATCACGGGGGTTTCTGTGTGCGTGTGGCCTGAGCGTGTTCAGCGGCTGCCAGACAGCCGTGTGCACACGCAGGGCCATGTGTTCCCGGCGAAAGAGAAGGAGATCGGTCAGAGAGAGTGACAGATCGAAGGGGAAAGAGAGAGAATCGACTAACGCGAGGGAGAGAATCGAGAAACGAAGAAGGGTGGCAGAGACAGAGAGGGAGCATGCAACTCATCTGACCCAGTGACCCTCCCTTGGCTCAGCTTGTGTTCCCAACGTTTCCCCCTTCGCCGCTGCCCTTCGTCCTCGAGTTTCCATTTACCTCCGGCTCTTTTCCTGCCACATCGTCGTAGCCCGTGTCCTGGCGCGACCCTCTCGAAAAATCCCTGAACGGATTCGTCTTGCTCTCCTCCACGGTCGACCACTTGACGGGGCCCTCTGCTCTGATCCTCTGTCGCGCCTGTTGGAGGCGTCCAGACCTCTTCGTTCAAGGGGGGTGAGAAACGATCCCTGGGAAACAAAGTCGTCTTGGGCTGGAACGTGACTGGACTAGGTTATACTGGTGTCCTCGGGGAGAATGATTCCTTTTGCATGAGACCGAAACACGCGTCCCCATGAAGCGCTTATCAGGGCTGACAGATGTTCAGGCAGGCAAGTTAAGCTCTTCAGGTTTCCGGATTGTCGAGAGAAGCTTCGTTTTCAATTTTCTCATCTTCACAGGCAGGCTCTAGTGCTCGTGATCGAAAGTATATATACGCGGACTGAAAACGTGCAACGCGAGTCAGCCCTCGCATAGACATCAAAGGGTGAGGTCTCTGGTTTGCATAAACAGCTAAACCGGGGAGCCAGAGGGTCGTCGATGGAACAGGGATAAATCTTTCATCGAGTCCTTAATTAAAATCGTAACCTGTATTTTTATAGTAGAGTCACTCGGGATTGATCCCTCGGATTTGTACGAAGCTTCCTAGCTCTAGGCCATCCTTTGACGTACGATGATCTTCCGTTCTCCGATATTTTGATGTATTAGTCACTGATGTATTAACTATCTGTATGAGATGTACGAGTGACTCGGTAGGTTCCATAAATACCACGAAACATAGTCTAGACAGCGATCCCACGAGCAGAGAACCAACATAGAATGCCGTGTTAGAGCGTCGCGAAGTATAGTTGGGCTAACTATCTCCCAAAATAAAACGTGGCTGTCAACGTTACATTGTTTCAACGAGCACAATGCTCGCGGTTGTGCTTGGAGCCGGCGAATTCCGAGAAAATAGCCACATCCATCTACCACTAGCTGTGTTTCACGTGCAACGATATTAGAACAGGGATTGCCAAAGTGTGCCTCTGGTTAGAGAGTGTACAGAACGCAAGGAAACCGCGAGGCAAGAAAAGCTCACGGAGGGACAACGAATCCGAAATAGAGGCTCGCGGTACGAGAGTTATTCGACTGGTCGTACACGCGCCGCAAAATTATTACTCGCGCCATTAAACTCTTTGTGTTCTTCGAGGATAACAATTGTCGCATCCACCGCGTGGATTCGGCTATTAACGCTTCCTTCGCTGTCTAAATGCAGCCACGAGTCTAGAGTTGTTACGTGTTTCTTTTTATCGCAATAGTCTTTGTGCGAAGCAGTAACGTTTGTTCTAACACACGGTCGGATGTTTCGTCTGTCATTCCGAGTCTTTTTGTCAAAATGCTCAGACACAGATATGGAACAGTTGGAAGAACAGCGCTAGTCGGGTAGTCTGTTAGGAGGTTGCCTAATCGAGATTAGGTGCAATCTAACTTTGATGTAGCCGTCGTTACTAGACGAAAGTGAAGGAGATAATTTAGAATTATCGTTATGGTTAAAGAGTCTTTGTATAACTCGATTGGACACGTAACAGTAGTCGTGTCTACTTATAGAGATGTAGTTTCGCGGATTTCGATATTAAGCGGATGCTTCGTGGTTTTAGACAAGTCGATGAAATTGGAAGGAACGCCATTTAGGTGTGGTATTTATCGATCGGGAAATTAAGATAAGACAGTGTTTGACACGTGAATTTTGACAGATGACTGTCATGATCGGTTGATGTTAAAATAGTACCCAGTTTACGCGAGGCGAGGGTAAAGTTAAACGGAGACACCTCTGTAACCAAAATTAGAAAAGTGAAATTAATAGTGATCATTGTAGAGGATCTGTGTGTCCAAAGAATTTTAGAATTACTAAGAATGTCTAAAAATCAACGATTCCCCGAGATACGTTTTCTATGTCCCTACCTCTGAATCTTCGTCGTTCTCCAGTACAAGATTTCTCATTCGCACCACAACTATTCTGTGTCAATCTCACGCAATCGTCTAGCTCTATTCTTGCTTCAACCTGACAGCTCGGTCAACTCGAATTTAGGCAAACAAGCTCCAATCGAAAAGCTTACAAACACCCCATCACTCCAAATCGCAAACTGTTTCTCGATATTCCTTCATATCGATTACTTTGAATCATCTTGCTGATCAATTACCAACGTTTCCGAGCTAAGCTCTGTTACCCCATCCGAGAATAATCCGCGGATTCTAGGTGCGCGTTGCCGAGTCGTACGCCACGGTTCACGCCAAAAATACCAGATAATCTCGAGAGGAACGTGATAATTAACAGCGAACGCATGGTGTCGAGCAGCATCCGCGCGAAACGCTTTGTATACGCATTGTTACGTAATTAGGATGGCATCGATCGACGCGATGGCCAAAAATTAACGAAGATAAAAATACTTGATCCAATCAAACGAATTTTCTCATTTCTACTCTTTCGTTATCTACTATATGCTAAGATAATCTTAATTTTATCGAGATTCGCAAAAGACATCGGATGATATCGATTCATTAGCCACTTGGAGTCTGGAAGAATCTCTAACAGACATTAGAGGCGGTCCTAGTGATCATTTCTTACTCCAATTCGGTTAACATCGGTTATTATCTAGTTCTGGTTGAGATTGTTTGATAAAACAGTGGCAAAAAGGAAAGGAGGTGAATATTTTTTCACGTGTTTCTTCATACATAATCAAGATTATATGTTGTTCAGGAAGAACAGAATTTTCATTGGTAGTTCAACTCTTATTGCAGGCAGGATTTTGAAAGAAAATATAATAACAAAAATAAAAATGAGGATTTCAACATGAAGTTTGCCCTAACCAAATTGATAGATTCCTAATTTTTGGTTAAAAATTTTCTATTCGACGATAGTATTATGACATCATGCTCAATGATCCCTAAAGGCCTAACTACGAATATCAGCGATTTACGTTTGTATACGTATATTTATTAATTCACTAATTTACTTAATTCTTATAATTTCGTATTATTCCACATACGTGACAGGAATCACATTTTGTTCTTGATACGATTCTCGATACTTGGAGTCTAACCTCGACATAGTGCTTTTTGAGAATTTAAAGAAAACAGTGAGGATAAAAAAGAGGATCTCAACACATTGCTGACTATGCACCTATACATATGCTTTTTATGGAGATATGGTTAAAATCACGAGCGAAGTTGTTGAAGCTCAACATTGATAAAGTGTTCATTATAGAATTCGAGATTATGTTTATCGTTCACATTTTTGTCACGTCAAGCTTTTTTTTCGTATCTCTCGTATATTATAAACGTAATTTTCTTACTGTAAAATCTGCAAAAATGGCGCAACGGTAACTGTCGTATGGAGAAGAATTTCTTGGTGAATTTTCTGTAGATACTTCATTTAACTGTTCGACTATATATCAATAAATGAGGACATGCCAGAAAAAGGGATCTATGCGACCCTTCTTGATGGACAGTTTAATAAATTGTCACGTGTCTAAAAATATTCCACTAAAATTTAAACTCAGACTTTAAAATAAATAGAGAGCTTTTCATTTATTCCTATACATTTTGTCTTCCTTAGGACAACAATTGCTGACACAATTTATTTGATTTATCCATTTTGACTTATGAGTCCTTTCTCCATGAACGTCCTCGATTTATAAAATAAAGTCTTTTCGAAATTAAATTCTGATTCGCACGATGCGAATGTAGATCATGAAGACTAGCTTATCATAAACATTAGTTTCTGCAAGAGCGTTAACCCTTTGCAAACGCGTGTCTATGGACAGTAACCCAGACATTTTTATCATTCGGGAGGCGTATCGGTTCATGAATAGACAACAAACATAGCAGTCTTCGCTCTGAACTCTGGTCTAAATTCTCCTCGAAGTGACCGTATCTTTTTATTGAATTTCTAAAAAGAAAACATTGCTTTCTCCGGAGCGTATTTTTGTTCGATTGCTATTCTGATTCTAAAGGGTTAAAAAGACCATTTAGAATAATCCTCAGTAATCAACGAATTTTAGCGAGTCCAAACGATTTAAGTTTATTTGTTCATTTATTTATTCGGCATTTGTATCTTATTATTTTTCTACGCAGTAAAAAGGTATGTTTTGTTCATTCCTAATATGATTCTCGATACTTGATCATTTAAATGTAACGTTGAGAAAATAAAGAAAGAAAAATAAACAAAATATCTTAGGAGGATTATTCGCAATGATCCTTGGGGTAATAACTATAAATTTCAGTGATTCACGGTTGCTAATGTATATATAGGAGGTGTCCAAAAAGGTTGAAATCAAACAGAGATTACGTGTTACTGATATGAAATAGATGAAAAAGTTTACACAAATTTATGTCCGAAAAGGCTTTACTGAAACGATATAA